CTTACTTCTGGGCATCTGTGGGCAGATTTGAACCACCAGTCTTCCAGTTAGTAATCATTTGTGCCACACTCTCTGATTGCATTCTCTTTGTTCCCTTTCTAGTTCTCTGAACCCACTTTTATACCATTACTGCAAGAGCATAAGACCAGCAATTTTTCAAAAGCAAAATGAGATGATAGGGACTGGGAAAATAAGTAGGGCATTGGTCTCATTGGCAGTATATCTGGTTTTTTGTGCCAGTTTATTACCTCATTAAAGTTGACCAGGGGAGACGTTCAGTTCTAGTTTTAAAGAGTGTTTCAACACGATAGTTTGGGGAGGGCACATCATCTTTTCTCTCCTGTTCCTTTTTGTTTGCTCCTTGATTCTTGAGAACCATTTGCAAAGCAAGCTGGAATGTGGAAGTGAGAAAGTAGAGCTTAAGAAGGACACACATGTCTTTTAACTATTCTCTTAACGGTATCTTAAAAAAATGTACTTTCTGAACATGGGTTTTGATTTTGTATTACTTTATATCTTGGAGTGTTTCCCTTGTGAATTACTTGGCATCTTGCTTGAAGTACACCACTTTAAAATTTATATCTTGTCCTACTTTTATTTCAAGAACTTTACTTAAAGTATCTTCTTCTTCCCTGTTCCTCTTGTTCAGTTATGCATGAGCATTTTTGCATTTCCCACTCTGTAAGATGGAGACAATAATATGCTAATGTGAATCGTGGTAAAATCAGAGTGAGGACAGGGATTTCATTCTTAAGAGTGGACAGTCTCTTCCTACTGCTACAGACATATTCCTTGTTAACATAACAATTTTATCAAGTCATATATTAGTAAAGCAAGACAATGGGACATGAATCAAGAAGTATTCCCAATTAGAGTTACGCCTTATAGTGGCAAGATGTTCTGGTGGCTCAGTGGTTAAGTGCTTGACTGCTAACTGAAAGGTCAATGGCTCAAAACCACCAGTGGCTCTTCCAGAGAACAGATGTGGCAGTCTGCTCCCGTGAAGACAACAGCCTTGGACACCCAATGGGACTCTGGCCAATATGGTCACTATGTATATATAGGAAGAGACTCCAGGGCACTGTCATGAACTGGAATCCCTTTGATGGCAATGAATTTGGCAGTTCTGTTTTTCTTTTTTATTAATTTTGCTATTTTTCATTTCAATGAACATCTACAGAGATTTTGGAATTCCATTCATTCATTGTTGCACCCCTCTCCCTGCCCCCCCCGCCCCATCCCCCCTTTGCTCCTCTCCTTCAAAAGCAAAAGAA